GATCAGTGGTCCCCAACCTTTTGGGCATCAGGGACTGGTGCCATGGAGACAGATTTTTCCATGGACCAGAGGGGGCGTAGTTTTGTGTGCTGCCTGCATCCTACAAATAGGGCTTCACTTGCTTGCATGGACCAGTTTCTGGCATGCCACAGACCAGTGTTGTTCCTCAGACTGTGGGCTGAGAACCCCTGTGATAGATAGATAGATAGATAGATAGATAGATAGATAGATAGATAGATAGATAGATAGATAGATAGATAGATGATATTCTACCAGTTCGATCGAACTGGTAGCTTCAAAGTTCATCTGTAAGTGAACCAGTTCGCCCTCTCAATCAATTGATGGGCCTGCCTGCTTGCCCCACCGCTATTCTGACCTTGATTTCCTGGTTTTCAAGCTCAGCTGCTTCGCAAGGCACAGCGGATTGCTGTGCACCAGCTGTTTAACACACAGGGAGAATGCACGATTGCAGGAGGTCAGTAGCAAATCCTCTGCAAAGCGCTCATTCACTGAATCAGTTGTTACACCGGTTGAATCACACCCCTAGAAAGGTAGGTAGGTAGGTAGATATATAGACAGACAGACATATAGTTTGCATTCTAAGTACTGTATCATTAGCCTTTATTTGGTGATACAAAGAAACAAAACAACCTATTCATTTTCCATTCCAAGGGAAACCAACTACTTATTTTGAAATAATGCTGATCCAGTACAACAGGGCTCTCCAACCTTGGCAACTTTAAGCCTGGCAGACTTCAACTCCCAGAATTCTTCAGCCAGCTAAGAATTCTGGGAGCTGAAGTGCACCAGACTTAAAAGTTGCCATGGTTGGAGAGCCCTGCAGTAGAAAGTAAATTAGGCCCACCAAAATCTCACACCATTGTCCCACCAGGTCCTTTACACAATGGGCTTTTCTTTGTCACATTTTCAGGGCTGCAGTAGACTTAATAAGCTAAACAAATGCAAATCAGGCTTGCAAATTATCTTCCATTCACAGACAAAAGTCAGATACTTGATTATTTTAAATCTGTATTTTAAAATGTTAATGTTACTTATAATAATAAACCATAATGTTGCATATATATTTTTTCTGAATATCCTAGAGATCAAATCTCTGAAAGTAACACTAAGTGAACATACTGGATACATTTTGTAAAAACATGAGAAATCTTTTGAGAAGATACCTTGTTATTTTTCAACAATGTCAGGGAAACTGAAACATTGGAGGCATAGCACTAAGGCCACAGTTAAAAAGTATAAATATTCCCTTTTTTTCTGTAAAAAATATACTGTCCGGTTCCAAAGAAATCATGCCAAACTGTTCTGATTGGGAAAATGTAGAATACATCCAGAACCTCCCACACAATCTGTGACCATCCTACTCTTGCAAAAATGCAGTATTTCTCAAAATGAAGAATCTTCTAGAAAAAGATTAACAAGCCAAAAACTTGTTCCAAATGTTACAGAACAGTTTGGGTCAAGGACTCGCGTGACGTTTTTTCATATATTGATTAACACAGACTAATTGCCCAAACAAGATTACTAATAATATGGTCTTACTTATATTTTATTGAGAATTCCAGTTTTAAAACTATTCAAGAATAACTTGAGGTGATCTTCAGAGTAATCCCAATACTTAAGTGCATTAGAAGAAGAAAGATTCCTGTAAAAGAAATCTCATTATTGTTAATTCAGCCTATAAAAATGAGGAAAAAAATGGGGGGGAAGTATAGTTTTCAAGAAATTAGTCTCATGATATAGATTTTAAATATATTTAGATAGGGCACACACTTTATTTGTTTAGCATCATTCACATTGATGGGAGATTTTGAGGGTTAAAGCACCATATAAGTTAGAGCCATTTTAAATTATCTGAAAAATATGCTTCAGGCAGAAAATTCAATATACCTACACAGGAAGATGTTATTTTATGTATCTATGCGAAATATTTCCTAAAATTTATGTCCAAATGAATCCTATGAAAAACTCCAACTTCTGCTATTAAGCACAATATATATGCAGTTAATAGTTTTGTCTGTCTGTCTGTCTATCTATCTAATCTAGTGTTATTACCCTTCTATTATTACATGCCAATACACTGTCTGAATTTAAAAATACTAAATATAGGCTTCATTTGTGCCTTGCTTTTTGCCATATAGTTTTATAAAGGTAGTTTTTGCTTATCAATGATAATTGTTATCATTGTAACGGACTGTAATTTTCATTGCTAAGTGATGTGATCATAAAGTACAATGCCATGTGACATATCCCTTAGTGGTGGTAGTTCCATCAGTCCCCGGTTGCTGTCATTAAGTGAATCAACATGGATTGTTAATGAGGATCTCATTTGGTTGCGACTTCCAACTTCTTGCCAGCTGTTGCTATTGCTATGTGACTGCAGGGAAGCTGTAAGGGCCAGAATTTCAAAAAACGGTCATAAATGCCACTCATTTTGTGCCAACATAAGTTTAAGTGGCTGCTGAATCAGCGGTCATTAACCAAAAATTATCTGTAATGCCTCCATCAACTTTTTATCAATCCTGTGTTCCATGTGTTGGGACAATGACTTGTCTCAGCTGATTTTTATTTTTAATTTTGCATATATCTTTAATCTAGATTTACTAACCGGATTTTATTGATATATTACACCTGGGTGTATTTTCCCACCTGAAACCCACATTCTCCAGGCTGACTGGAGAAAGCATTGTTAGAAAGCTGAAAGTGCTCAAGATTTATACAATTCTATGTTCAAACTGGGTCAATCAGGTTGTTTCAAGAGTGATGGAACAGAAGCCAGAATCATTGTTAAAATTACCTTACTTTCCTCAACTATAGTTAAATATTACCTACTATGAATTTAGCTTTGTGTATAGTCTTTATAGTTAGTTGAAAATGGACAGTTAAAAATAAGAAACCAGTTTCTCTGCTGTCTGTACATGCATAGAACTAAGCAAATAACTTGAAGGTTAATGTAACATATGTAGTATGTGCAAGGAGAACTACTCTGTATATAACCTGGCAAGTTGATACTTCAAACTGTTACTATCAGTTTGAGGAGAACTTTAAAAATAAATTAGTAATATTGTGGATGGGAGGAAGAAAGTTTCCTGAGATGGAAAGATAGTTCTGTCACTAAGGCGATATGATTTCTTTGGAGTTGCAAATTTAGGGGTGTGATTGAAGAGTAAATGTTTTGTTACTTCGGTGTAATATTCTTTCTTTTTTCTTTTTAACCAAGAAGGTGACTTGTGGCTCAAGTATCTCTGCCTGTGCAGTCTAGGGAGTTTTTAAAAAGTAAATCCTAGAGACATGTGCCACATGGTCTTTTGAATCAATATTCAAGAACCCAATTTAGCATGGTTACTTCCTAAGAAATAGCAATAGTACTTAGACTTATATACCACTTTACAATGCTTTACAGCTCTCTCTAAGCAGCTTACAGAGTCAGCATAATGCCCCCAACAATCTGGGTCCTCATTTTACCAACCTCCGAAGGATGGAAGGCTGAGTCAACCATGAACCTAATGAGATTCGAACTGCCAAATTTGCAGTCCGCCGGCAGTCAGCAGAAGTAGCCTGCATTCTAACCACTGGATGGGCACAAACTTAGAGAAAATACATCCTTTAGAGCATCTCCTGTAAAAAGGGGTTGAGAATTGTGGTTTCTACTTGGCTCAGCAGTCCCGATCCTCTAAGTGAGCAGGAAGAAGTACCCAGAGAGTAAATTGATCCAAGATGAATCTAGAAATTTATTACTCCATGAACAAATACATACAGCCGAAGTTTTAGCAGGCAAGAGAAACAAGGATAAAGAGAAGTGGGCCAGCCTGATGCTCTCTAGATATGCTGGATTAAAAGTATCAACATCCCCAGCCAGCAGTGTCAAGAATTTTTAAAAAGGCATCGAATTAGAGAAAGCCAATATAAAATAAAGCACAGGTAGGAAGTACACAGAATAGAATAGAATTCTTTTATTGGCCAAGTGTGATTGGGCACACAAGAAATTTGTCTTGGTGCATATGCTCTCAGTGTACATAAAAGAAAAATAAAATATATTCATCAAGAATTGTAAGATACAACACTTAGTGATAGTCATAGGTTATTAATGCAGAATCAAATCATACTACAAATCAAATACTACAACATACATTGTAAAGATACAGATAAGATGAGTTTGTGTTTGCAAATAAGGATGGACAAGTGACACTGATATTGTATCTTGTTGGATGTTTCTGGGCAGAGTAGGCAGAACAAACATTTGTAGCAGGAAAGGATTATGGGCAGAGCCTGAAAGGGGTGGATGTGTTGCCAAACAAACAAACCCATAAGGTGCCTTTATCCAGATTTTGTTTTTATACTTTTCTATAGCTAATAACAAGAGTTAATAAACCAGCTGACCAAAACTGATTTGTGTCCAATCCTCTACAGGTGGGACTCTTAGACCCCATAGCCAAGTAAATGGGATCTGAAGAGAACCACGGGTATTTATTGGGCCATCCAATTCGGGCAGTGAAATACTGAGGTTTTCAGCAAGTTTGAGGCTCTCCGTGCCTAAAGAAGTACCTGTAAAACTTCTTTGATCAGGATGAGCTCCGGGCCATCCTAAAAGTTTCGAGGAAGGGTTAGGATCTTTTGCATAATCCGAGTGACACTTTCATGTTTACCGACCCATTTTGTTTGGAATCGAGAGACCCAGAAACTGCAGCGGCCAAACTGGAAGACCTCCGGGTGCCAACCTGCACAAACGTCCTTGGGAGCAAGGCTCTTACCGCATGTGCAGAGTGCAAAATGCGTACCAAAAAAAAAGGGGTGGGGGTTACATCCTAAGCAGGCGCCTTAGCTGTTATCAGAGGAGACCCCACCGAACAAGCACCGGCTTCACTTTACATCCCCCCGCGTTCCTCCACCCCCCCCCCCGCCCTCCCCAAGGCTGGAGGGGCTCAGGCCTTCTTCCCCGCCGCGCCCCCCCCCCGCCCGCCCGCTTTCTCCCCGGTTCCTACCTGTGCTGCAACCCCACCAGCCCCAGCGTGATCACATGGGGCACATCCAGCTCGGTGGGCCACTGGCCCGCGGCGAGGCAGCCGAAGACGCCGCATTCCTCCCGGATGCCCAGCTCTTCGAATTCCATGGCGCACGAGGCCAACACGTGTTTTTAGACTCGTGTGCGTGTGTCTGTCTGTGGGGTTGGCGTGTGCGCGCGCGCGCGGATGCTACACGCAGCGGCTCCCTTTTGCTGTCGCTTCAAGCCGCTGCCGCCGCCGCCGCCGCCGCCTGAGTTTGTGGGAAAGAAGGAGGAGGAGGAGGAGGAGGCGGGCTTGGCCGTTGCAGCGCCCCTTATTCCCACCCGCTTTATTTACATACATACACACTCACACGGGAAGGGGGTGCTGGCGGCCGGGTTGTTTTCTGGGCAAAGGAAGGGCCGCCTGACGGGGGGCCCGAGCGCCTGAGGCGGCTGGGGCGGGGGGCGCGTGAGAGGGAAGGACCAGGCGCCCTTTGCAGTCCGCTTTTCGTCGAAACTTTAAAAAAAAAAAGTTTGGCAGACTTTTCCTTCCTTCCCTCCCTCCCTCCCTCCTGTTTTCATTTCCCCTCCCCACTCCTCTCACCCGCGTATTAAATTCGGGGTATGTGTGTGTTGCGTGTCTTTAACTTTTCGCACTTTGGGGTCGGCGGGGGGGGCGAGGAATGAGGGAGACAGTTTCTGCCTGAGGGAGCTTCTTTGGACGGAGGGGGAAAAGCTTCCCCTCCCCCCACCCACCCACCGTCACACGGGTCCGTGGTGGGTGAACTTTGGCGCGAAAAAGGCCCCCCCTGCCACCCCCCCGTTCCCCGGGGCCTGAGTGGGAAGTGAGAGAATCCTGGAAAACAGGGCGTGAGGACTGGGGAAGGGCCGGGAAGGGCGCAACTTGGCTTCCCGCGTTCGGGATAACAGCGCTGCCCAGAGGCCGGGGGGGAAGGCGGAGGGGCGGAGGTGGAAGCTCCTCGCCGATTGGAAGGCCGAGGTAGCCGAACCACCTTCCTTTCCACCACCCCCGCCCCGCGCCCCGCCGTTGCCCCCAACAGCTCGGGGGAAGGACGAATGCGCCCGGGGTAGCGCACTTCGGGGCGCCACCCTCCGCGCGCTCAAGCCGCCTCCATTGGGTGGGCCGGGCGGCTCAATCTCCACCCTCCGCTTCGCCGGCCCCTTCCGCTGCTGCCCCCTTTTTTTTTCTTCTTACCGCGGCCCCGCCGCCAGTTCTTTCGGCCTCCCCCCACAACCCCGAGAGAGAGTGAGTTTCTTGGGTCTTTCTGGGTCCACCCTCCCGGCTTCCCTCTCCTCGGAAAGCGCGCGGGGGCTTTCCTGTCAGGTGGCGTCGCGCTGCGCTTCTCCTCTCCTCACCTGTGTTTGCCTTTTCTACTTTTTTTTTTTCCCCTCTCTCTCTCTCTCTCTCTTTTTTTTTTAGGCGTCCCGGACCTGCGCTCCCTTCGCTGCCATGCCTCCGATACAGTCAGGTGAGTGGGCTTCGAAGGCTCGCCTCCGCGGTAAAAAGGCGCGCCGCTTGGACGGAGTCGAGGTGGCCGCCGTGCGCGGGGGTGGGTGAGGGGGGCGCCCGAGGCAGCCGCCGCCGCCGCTGCTACTGCTGCTTTTCCCGCCCTTGGCGGGGTTGCACCTTCGGGAAAGCTGCCGGAGTTTTCGAAAGAAGCCACCCTTTTTGAGGGGGGGGAAGAAAAAGAAATAGGGTGTGTGTGTGAGCTCTGGACTAGCCTCCCCACATCCTGAGAAGGGCGAGCAGAGATTTGCGTTGCAAGGCGGATCACATTGGGGGCCATTGCGCGCTCCTCGTACGTGGATAAGAGGCGCAGGTTCAAAACTAAGAAAAAATAATAATCAAAAAGGATTCCCTTACTGCCAGTCGGTGCAGAGATCGAACTTTATCTCTGCCACCAAGGGGGCAGGAAGGAATCCTCTTTAATATATATATACATGTATGTATGTATGCATGCATGTATATGTGTGTGTGTGTGTGTGTGTGTGTGTGTGTGTGTGTGTATATAAAGTTTTCGCGGGTACTTACATGTATGGCATTCGGGTATTTGTTCAGGTATTTCATCATCTGATGAACACTATACAGAAGCCTGATGATGGCAGATGAGATTCTGCCGAAACGTTGCTACAACTTTAAAAGCACAACTACAATGACTTGGGAAAATACCCGAACAAAGCCGAATGCCATACATACGTACATACGTACGTACATACATACATACATACATACATTCATTTGACCTAAGCCTCTTGCCTAGGACTCCAGGAATGGCTCCAAAGACCCTCTTAAGCAGGAGTCGCCAACCTTTTGGACCTCAGGGACCACCAAAACCCATAATTTTAAACCCTCCAGACCACTAATATGAATTTTGACGGATGGTGGCTTGCTGAAGTTGGTGACAAAGTCAGTCCCAACTTTAAGACTTGTGGACTGCAACTCCCAGAATTCCTCAGCCAGCTTTGCCAACTTTAAGACTGGTGGACTTCTGGGAATTGAAGTCCACGAGTCTTAAAGTTGCCAAGGTTGGAGACCCCTGCAAGTCTAAAGCAGAGATCTCCAAACTTGGCGACCTTTAATTAAGACTTGTGGATTTCAACTCCTAGAATTCTCCAGCCAGCTGGAGAAGAATTCTGGGACTTGAAGTCCACAAGTCTTAAAGTTGCCGAGTTTGGAGATCTCTGCTCTAAAGGATGCAAATGACCAACTGGCCGCCAAGGGAATATAAATCCTTCCTTTCTCCACTATCCAGTCAGGGCTAAAGAAACTTCTTGGATGAGACCTGAAAAATGGCTTTGAAAGAAAGAAAGAAAAGTTCAGTTGCCTCCTGAAAAAACTATTTCCAATGTCCACCTTTGGGACTTGTGATAGCATTGCAATGTGCGCAACGGGATCTCTGTCTGCCAATTCTCAGGTTGGATCGGGTGGGCCTGCTGGCTGTGCTGCCTGGAGTTATACTCTCCTTAAATTTGGGAGTTTTAAGCCAGTTCTGAAAACTTGGCTGTTGGACACCAAAGACCTTTCTTCTGTGCTGGTATTTCTCGTCAGCTTGCTTATTTCCCCATGGTTGGTCTCTGCTAGAGTGGGAAATGAATTAAGCCATCCAAATATCCGATGGGAACGAGGTGAAGCGAGTGCTGAATATTCTCCATTTGGGTTTTGGATTGAATGCGTTATGCAGACTGGAGGGAGGCTGCAGTGTTCAGGTAGCCCTCAGCTTACAACAGTTCATTGAGTGACCGAAGTTACAACGGAACTGAAAAGTCACTGATGGCCATTTTTCACACTTACAACCATTACATGGTCATGTGTTTTACATTTGGATGCTTGACAAGTGGTTCATATTTACGATGATTGCAGTGTCCCAGGGTCATGTAATTTATCTTGTGTGACCTTCTGACAAGCAAAGTCAATGGGAAGCCAGGTTCACTTTAACAACTGTGTTACTGATTCAACAGCTGCAATGATTCACTTAAGAAATGTGGCAAGAAAAGTTGTGAAATGGGGCAAAACTCACTTAACAAAAGTCGAGGTCTACCTGTACTTTATATTCACTCAAGGGGTGATTTGTGCCTCTGCCTCTACTGTTCATTAGTGAACATAGCCATCTAATTTATTATACCATATTCAGGACCCAAAGTTAGGCAAAGTTTTTGTTGGACTTTTCCCTTATAGTTCTGAAAATTTTACATGTACGATATGCAATTTTTGCAATATGGAACTTCAAATTCAGAACACCTGCAATATATATGTGGGATATATTAGAACAACCAAACTTGGTTCTCTTATGCATGTTCTCCCAGTATCAGCCTTTATATGTATCAGTTTTAAGATTTGGATGGACAACTTTTCAGAAGACTGGAACAGTTTAAGTGAAGATTTCCAACATCTGCATTAAAATAATACCTTAGTCAATTCAAAGTTCACACTATTTTGCAAATCTTTGAGATGTCTAGGTAATATTGCCAAGTAAGCTGCTTTAAAAAGATGAATGGACTTAGGAAGAAAAAAATCAGATCTGTGCAGAGAAGTGTTATACAGAAGGAAATGATGTTCAACTTAGATTTTTTTCCCATGGTACTCATAACTAGTTTTATAAATAAAATCTAGTTGTTGCTCATAACTATCACAATCTTTAGTAAAACACACAGGTATCTCTAAACCTCGTTGAATTTGTTTTCCTAAAATTAACACTGGAAGATTCCATTATATATAATTGCTATCTTTGTTTTTTAAAGTTTTATTTTTCCAGAAAAGATTTAATTGTTGCAGAAATGAATGATCTGCTTATTAAGTTTTCTAGCTGTACCATCTGGATATAAATCCTCTCTATACTTTTTTTAATGAGTCCATTTTTTATCTAGTTATATTTGACCAAAGATAATCCCGTAGAAATCTTAAAGGGTACAGTGAATATAAAATTGCAATCAACTTCTTTCACCAATACATCAATAATAGGTTAGCACTACACAGTTTCACTTGTCGCAAGTGTCATAGTGGTACTTTATTTATGAAGTGCTCCTTTCTTTACCATATAATAACTTTATGGGCATAAAGTTTATTTCATGTCTTTATCTTGAAAGGAAGAGTTTTGTTAAGTGTGGCTACTAAATAAACTAGTTCAATTCAAGTTAAGCAAAATATTACCCACCATCTTGAAATGTTTATATTGCTGCCCTCTTGGGACTGTATTACAAATTATTTGTTCATTTAGAGTTTTACCTTATTGCTGTCTTGCTAGTAAATAGAGTCACTGAGGGAATAACATTTTAGTCAAGAACAAAAGGCAGGGCAAAGATGCTTAAGAGCCATTCTCTCTCCTTTACTCACAACTGGCAAATCTAGTGGCCCTTAACATGGGGCTTATTCTAAGGCTCACGGGCTTTTTGTGGTCCCCAGAGCTATCGATGACTATGGCTCCTGAAAATTAGTAGCAGTTGCCCGGGACTTTGGGGCGATAATAAAAACTATATTGTAAGCGCTAAACTAGGTTTAACTCGGTTAAAGAACAAAGCCTTTCCCTTTTTTCAAGATCAGCTCTGTATAAAGATTCTGGTGAACTTTGGAATATCATTTTGCCCAGTACAACACCTTATTATCCTGA